GTCCATAGCATTGCCCTTCACCATGGCTTCTTTTATCTTTGAACACTGAGTAGATCATATTTGTAACTAATAAATGACATTGTGACATCCAAGCATTTTTTTTTAATCTCATAGCCATGTAAAAGTCACATTACTGTTCACAACATTGATTATGAATACAAAATTACTGTAAACCATTATATTTTTGTGAATTTCATTTGAGATCATTAAAGTACACAGTTATCCATTAGCTACTGTCAACAATATCAAAACACATTGTTGACTAAAAAAAATGTTATTAACAAATGGAATTGAAATAAAATTAATAAATACATGTAACATGACTGAAAAATAAATTATCCACATATATCGGTAATTCTGTTAAAACCTTTGGTAAAAATGTTGAAAACATGCACCATGACAGGAACACACTATCAAAATTTGATTATAGATTTCTATGTATTTCATTAGAAGGACATTAAAGAAATTAAAAATATCAGTGTTTTTAATGTGCCAGGTGAATTGTCAAAAAACAAAAACCAACCCTATCTAACTTTTAGTTAGTACAACTATCACATAAATACACTATGATTGTATGACGTTTTGACTGCAGACATTGCTGTCATGTAAGTTTCAGCGATTTATATTGTGTATGATTTGTTCATGTCTCATACAGAGCAATGCATATTATATAACAATTATTCTTTAGCAGTTATCTTTGCTTGGACGTTGTTGTTGCTAGGCAACAATTCCCAGCTATCCATGTATGTTATTATATATAACATTAGCATTACCTGATGATATTAATTATTTAGATTTGGACAAAAATTAAAATACAATAACTGATGTTTTACTCCAAAGATTACAATCATTATGCATTTGGTGTACAACAGTACATTGATTTCTAGGATATCATCCTAGTCAGCTCACATTGTCCAGATGTTCTTTAGCAACTAGCTACATTGTTTCTATTATTACCAGCGACCATGACAATTTTTTAGGAGGAGGGAGGGTGTGAATCTGCACCGAAAACAAAAATTATATGAAAGAAATTCTACTCGTATTTCATAAAGGAAAGCTACATTGTTTTGAAAAAAAGACCCCCTCCAGAGTTTTTAAGCAGTACATATAGTGTATTTAGCATGGAAACCATAATCCATCTCATGGACTACATGGCTGGGTTGTGTAATAAAGCTCAGGCCACTGTTAACACCCTATGTCAACTTGTAGCATTATTTGAACATCAAGCAGGCCAAAGTAATCTTAACCACCTGTGGACCTTGATCAAGTTTCCTTCAATTTTGCATCTCTTAATGAATGTGACAAACTCATCCAGTGTGTGGGTTATTTCAAACTCTTTCCCAGGGGATAACAAGCCTGCAGCAACATCCATTAAAAAATGATTGGTTTTTCGGAAGATCTTTGATTAACCATCTTGACTATTAGGCTATTTATGTTTAATTTCCTTCTCAGAACAGAGGATTTAATAAAAGTGGTCTAACCGCAGTCACCAAGGTAGATTTATAGATAATTAATTAAAGTAAGACTTCCTTAGTGACAATATCACAATGTAAATCCACTCCTCCCATTGACAAAATACCATGGTTACTCCTGTAACTTTTTGGATCACTGGCTACCAGTTTCTGTTACGGTATTTGAAATGTCTATCTAGCAAACATATGTTTTATATGTTTTAGCATATTTTACTTTTAAATGTTTGTTTTCCACAATCACTCTCTTGTGGAAGGACTGTGTCTTCTAATTCCCATGGTTGGTGATTTGTGGACTCCTGCATTTCATCCTCCCACCCCTGAAAATATGATTGGTATCTTCCAAGGTTGAATTCATGTTTATAGTGATGTTTGTGTATCCCAGGTGATTGCTGAGGCATTGTTGTTTGGGTTTCATTGGATGCAAGTTTTAGTTCAGCTTCAGTGGTATATCCCCTATTGATCAGAACTGTATGCGGGATTGGGATCAAATATAAAGACAAGCTTCCAGTCTGGCGTCTTCTGAGTGCCCTAAGGAAAGTGGTATTCTGTAAATGTTGATGGCCAACTTTACTTTCGCTTACATAATAGACTTTAATTAGGCTCTTGATGATTATAATTCCTATTACTGGAATGTTTTGTGCAATTTTAATATTGAGAAAACAGCACAAATTTTTTGTGAAACCTGATTGTTGCTCACATCAGTAAAAAATGCTTTATGATATTTTTTTTTTTTTAATTTTGAATTTAGTTTCTTCTATAAGTGTTTCTTTCAGGTATGTTAATTCTCATCTTCTCTGGGAGATGTTGTGTTGAGGTTATTATGAGAATACCTCAAAGTACAGCAGGATTATCGACCGGTGGTTGATGCGAAGATGGACTGTCTGAGTGCATACTTTGAGGTATCCTCACAATAACCTTATTATTATACATCTTTTCCTTCCAAGAATACATCATGGGATTGTCGAACATAAATATTATGCTCTGTTTATGGTCTGTGTTATGTATATGGTTAGCACTGTGTGCTTAAAAGTGTGAAATGTCAATCTCCATTTACTGAAATGAACTATTTATTAAGCACCATGGCTGTCAGTTCGTATGTGTTTTTTTGTGTGTGTGTGTTCTTATGTCACAATAAGAGAAAATCAGATGTGAACGTGTCAGGCTCCCTTTGGAAGGAGGCTGTCAGCTCTGGTGTAACTATTACGTGTAATACTTGTAAGGGCACATAAATATTATTTAAACTTCCTTTGAAGGAGGCAACATCAGCGACTATTCGCAATGGGTGTGAAAAGTATATTGG